GATGCGCGAATCGAGGGAACGTTTTTTTTATGTCCAAGCTGTGTATGTTGAACTCCCATGCTCCAGCTTGAGGGGGGGTGTTATGTTGGGGAAATTAATGATAACTTGGATGAATCGAGAGTTGTGTAAACACTTTCAGATTGAATATTTTGGTTGTTCACTCCAAAATTCAATCGGATAAAACTCGAAAGTATCAAGAACGAAATATGAGGATTGCTATTAAAATATCCGAACACAAATCCGACCAAGGCCTGCGGGAATTTATAAACTTGCGGCAGAGGGAGAAGACGCCTATCGCGTCTCTTTCCCAAGTTACGCGATCCTTCGCGCGGAGGTTCTCCAAAATTCGGTGCTATCCAATCGGAGATTTTCTTTTAAAGAAAATCCGAAAATTAAAATTCCAATTGAATTTTATTAACATAGCGCCTTGCCCAAAATAAAAAATTTTCGAGCCCAGCCAGGGGCTCTGCCCCTTGGACCCCGCAGGGGCTGCCGCCCCTTGAACCCTGCTCGAGGGCGCTGCCCCCGAACCCCCGATGTAACGGGATTTTTATCGTAACAAACTCAATGAAGCGTGCACTCCGCACCACCAAACTTCATTGATGATTATTAGGATACCATTGGTCATAGTTTTTCCAATTACACTAAAATATATAACATTCCTCCCCTATTTTAGTGTAATCCTTGATTAACTAAACAAATTCACAGCAAAACAACAAACTTATGCATTAATGAAATATCGTGACGATTGAATTTCACCTTAGTACATTACACATTTCAAATATTCGAATATCAGGGTATCACTAAGGATTGAACCCTTGCTATTCATTTTGAATACATGAAGATAATATACACAAAAGTTTACATACTTTAATGTTCTAACTTGACACTATTATTTACTAGCCTTGTGTCCTAATCCTTCATAAGCATATCGAAGTGAAGTCTCTACTTCTTGAAGCGGCTAAACTTCATGCTCATATAGGTAGTCCTCTTTATTCTTGGACCTGCATATGCAATTTTTCAAAAGAACTATTAAGAAGACGTACTTCATCCTCCTAATCTTACAGGTCTGAACACATACTTTGGGATAATATACTTAATGTGTTCCAATTCCAAGATGTTAATATTTTCCACATTGAATTCAACATCTAATGTCTTATTAGATGGGAATTGGGATTCTTACCCTGAGAAATTTTTAGATAGACTTCAATCCAATCCCTATAGCCGATCTCTGCACAAGGTTTCTATTTAACCCTTTGGTTAAATGATCAGCCAAATTTTGTTGAGTCCTTACAAACTCCACTGATATCACACCATGCATAATGAGCTCTCGAACCATGTTGTGCCTCACACCTAAGTGTCTTGACTTCCCATTGTAAACTTGACTATAAGCCTTAGCCAAAGTAGCTTCACTATCGCATCGAATAGATATGGGAGATATTGGTTTTGGCCACAATGGAATGTCATATATCAGATTCCTTAGCCATTCTGCTTCTTTACCGGCTGCCGCCAAAGCCACAGACTCAGACTCCATTGTAGAGTTAGTTATGCAAGTTTGTTTCTTTGATGCCCAACCAATTGCTCCTCCACCGAGAAGGAATATCCATCCACTCGTGGAAGAGTGATCTTCCATATTAGTTATCCAACTTGCATCCGAGTATCCTTCCAAAACTGAAGGAAAGTCGGTGTAAGTTAATCCATAATTCATGGTTCCCTTTAGGTATTTAAATACTCGGTTAATCGCTTGCCAGTGATGCGAACTAGGATTGCTAGTATACCTACTAAGTTTCCCAACCGCATATGCTATGTCTAGCCTAGTACTAATCATAGCATACATCAAACATCCAATAGCTCGTGATATTCTAGTTGAGATACTGCAACACCTTTATTAGGGAAGAGCTTTAGACTTGGATCAATAGGAGTACTGACCGGAGAACAATCTTTGAAGTTAAACTTCTTCAAAATCTTCTCAATATAATGTGATTGAGAAATAGAAATTTCATTATTCTTACGCTTGATCCTTAAACCAAGAATCACTTCAGCCTCCCCCATGTCTTTCATGGCAAACCTAGATGACAAAAATTCCTTGGTGTTATCAACTTGATTTTGATTAGTACCAAAAATTAACATGTCATCTACATATAAGCAAATTATAACTCCTTGTCCAGAAGTATCAAATCTGCTATATACACACTTATCTGCTTGGTTTAATTCAAAACCATTCGACAAAACAACGTCATCAAATTTTTGATGCCATTGTTTTGGTGCTTGCTTTAGACCATAAAGAGATTTCACCAACTTACAAACCTTATTTTCATTCCCAGGCATGACAAAACCTTCAGGTTGTTTCATATATATCTCTTCATCCAACTCACCATTCAAGAATGCAGTTTTTACATCCATTTGGTGAATCACTAAATTGTGTATAGCCGCAAGGGCTAATAACAATCTAATTGTAGAAATTCTAACAACAGGTGCATAGGTATCAAAGAAATCAATGCCTTCTTTTTGTCTAAAGCCTTGGATGACCAATCTCGCTTTGAACTTATCTATGCTTCCATCAACCTTCATTTTCTTTTTGAAGATCCATTTACATCCTAGAGGTTTACACCCGGGAGGTAAATCAGTCAATTTCCATGTATTGTTTTGCATAATAGAGTCAATTTCATCTTGAATTGCTTCCTTCCAAAATGCAACATCCCTTGAAGCCATAGCTTCATTAAATGTCTTAAGATCTTCCTCAATATTGAAACAATATTGATATTGAAATTCAATCTCATCTCTTATTCCTTCCATCAAGTAGAGTTGAAAATCATCACCAAAAGATTTTGGTTTTCTTGTTCTTGTACTTTTCCTTCAACATTTATGGAAGGCACAGTTTGAGAGACCTTTGAAGTAGGGGTCATATCCTTTGGTCTGGATATAGAAGTAAATCTTTCTTCATCAAAAATCGCATCTCTTGACTCCATAACTGTTTTTACAGATACAAAGTCATTAGGTTCTATAACATAGAACCTATATGTCTTGGAATGCATAGCATATCCAATGAAGATGCAATCTATGCCTTTTTCACCCAATGTTTTCCTCTTTGGTTCCGTAAGTCTAACAACGGCCCTACACCCCCAAACTTTAAGATAACTTAAGTTTGGTGGTTTTTTGTACCAGAGTTCATACGGGGTTGTTTTCATCTTTTTATTAGGAACTCTATTCAACAAGTAACATGCCGTTAACATCGCCTCACCCCAAAATCCTTCGCTTAAGCCCGAATAGGATAACATGGAATTAACCATTTCTTTTAAAGTCCTATTCTTCCTTTCTGCAACACCATTTTGTTGTGGTGTATAAGGGGCAGTTGTTTGATGTATTATACCAGTACTTTGAAAATATACTCGATCATAATACTCACCTCCCCTATCCGTTCGAAGAATTTTAATCAAGTTACTTTGGTGTAACTCTACCTCTTGCTTATAAATTTTAAATTTATCAAGGGCTTCTTCTTTTGCATGTAACAGATATACAAAGCAAAATCTGGACGCATCATCTATGAAAGTGACTACATATTTTTTATTTCCAAGAGAAGGGTACTATGTAAGTCACATAAATCACTATGAATAAGATCCAGAATTTTACTTCCCTATAAACCTCTTTGAATGGTTGTCTCGTTATCTTAGTGAGCATGCAAGTTTTACACTTCTCAATGTTCAAATCAAATGCAGGTATTAAACTCATTTTAGACATATCTTTTAATCTCTTGTAATGAACATGTCCTAGTCTAGCATGCCACAATTCAGATTTATTTGAAATAATGCTAGAACTAGTAGAAGCCTGATAACTCGGGTTTGGGTTAGTACTTTTTATTCAATTTTAGGCATTTTTAATACTTTTAGAGTTTAATTTTTAGTAGTTTAGCTTAGTTTTCATTTTAATTCTCATTTCTACAATCTTTTAATTTTCTTTCAAAAACAGTAGTTTTTTAATCATTTTTTACATTCTATTATTTTCTTTTCTTTTATTTTATTTTTCCTATCCCAAATTATCAGATATCTTATTTTTTGAAAAAAAAATGTAGAAAAAGGCCAAATCGAAGTTCATGTTTGAAAGGAAGCAATCAAAATTGGTTTGAAGCCCAATCAATCATCAACAAAAAGAAGTGGCCCGTTCTTCTTTTGTCTTTTTGATGCGCACAATAAAAAAGCGGAGACTTCTTCTTTGCGAAAGCAGCGGTGACCTTCTTCGACCTAGGCGCTCCAACGTCTCTCCAAGATTTTCGCGACATTCAAGTCTCCAACGGGAAGAATTTGGCTCCTCCATTCTATAAATTGGAGCTTCACAAGATGGAAAAGAGGGGGGAAAAGAACGTGAGAGAATCACAGAGAGTAAAGAGCCGCTGCTATCTACGCAGCTCCGATGGCGGTGGGCGGTGGAGGAGGCGACACCCAGTGGCGGAGACGGTAGCGGCTGCAGCTCCGGCCGGATATGGGCGGCGATCTCCAACTCCGTTCAAGCTCCAATTTCTTCAATTAATTCATCTTCTTCAACAATTGGTAACCCTTATTTGTCAATTTCTTTTTCTTCTCCATTTCATTGTAAAAATGTTGTTTCAATTGAAGTTTACATTTTTTTCTGCTTGTTGTGTTAATTTCGAAAATTCCAAAATGGTTGGTNTATAAATTTGATTTCATAAGTAGGTTGGTATGTCGAATTCGGTTATCATTGAAGCTAATTTAGCTACATATCTTAGTTAAGTGATTTTCGAATTCATACGTGAATCTTTTCTTGTGACTTGTGTTTTGTAAAATTTTAAGGTAAATGAATTTCTTAGCCACATAAGTTGAACATTTTCCTTAAGATTCGTTATAGAGTGATTGTTTATGTCTTGGTGTTCTTGTTTGTTATTTTCATAAAAATTGGGATTGTTTAAGCGCAATAAACAACTCTTGATTTAATGAAAATATGTAATGTTTTTCTTTTGTGAATAGATTACAATTCTTATGCTTCAGTTATTCAAGGAGACCTGCAAAATATTTTCATCATTAGACGTTAAAGTTTATTAAAGTGTATCAAATGTTCTTCATGAATACTTTGTGCATGGGAGTTAGAATGAAAGAAAGATTCGCTCTTTTATAAACTTTTTCATCTTTTGGAATCATTATTTGAGCGCTTGAGGTGAGTGGGGGTTCAAAGTAACCAAAAGGCCTTTGAATCTTTGACTCCGGGCCTTATAGAGAGTTGACGATCCTCTATATGTGGCCAAGGATATGAATCAACTCGAGCCTTTGAATTCTTTTCTATTGTTAGGTGCGTAAGTTACGTAATATATTGTCTAAGTGGCTATTATACGTGTAATGTTCTATTTGTGTTCGTTCTCTTTTTAATTTTGTTTCGGGTTCTTGGCGGTGTTTCTTGGGTTACCTTTGTTGGAGAAGTTGATTATCTTTTGAGATTGTTTCCCTCATTTTATCAAAAAAACCAAAAAAATAAGGAAATATAAAAAACCAAAAAATATTTACTTTTTATTCAAACCCCCCCCCCTTTGTGTTGTGTTTCAGTTATATTATAAGTTCTTTATTTATATGTTTTTAGTTATAAGTTTTATTATAAGTTTTATAAGTTCTTATCATATGTGTAGTTTTTTTATTTTATTTCGTGACAATGTGTGTGCATGCTTTAATGATTTCAAAAGTACAAACTTTCTCCGTGGGATCGACCCTTACTTGCCCTAGCTATAGTTTTTATTTGATTATATTTTGGGGGTTAGTTAAGGTTAATTTATAAATTTTTAATTTGTTTTGGACCACACGACAAGTCCCCAACAAATTTTGGCGCCGTTGCCGGGGAGAGTTTTGTATCAAATCAATTTAGTATGCCATTGTGTTTTTTTGTTAGTAAGAATGTCGTAGTACCTCTTTTCTTGAGTTTTAATCTATTTTACATGCCTATTAGTAGAATTGAAGATATGCATACGAGAGCAAACTAAAATCAACAAGTTCGTTTGCATTTGTGCTTAACTTTGATTGTCAATGTGCTATTTTGTGAGATTCCGGTACCGTTTCTTGGAAAATCTGCATTTTGAACATTATTTTATGCATTTTGCTTGTTGGTTTTTGTTGATACATGCTCCATAGGCTGGTTTAGATGCACTTGAAGCTGAAATTGCAAGTAATTTGATTTAAAGTTGCTGATTTTTCTAAAAATCTGCACTTTTTACTTAGCATATGTGCTGATTTTTGTCGTTGGAGTGCTCCTTTGCTTCAAATATGAACTATGATTGATATATCTTGTTTTGGGGCACTTTTAAAAACATATCATGAGGTTTATATTGCTGGTTTTTTATGTTTTCAGCGCTTTATTTGAAAAATCTGCCCTGAAGTGCTCATTCTGTTGAAAAACTCTGCAATGTTTTACTCATATACATGCTACTTTAAGTTCTGAAAATGCTTATTTACTTAACATTGACCTCAAATGGTTAAGAACTTGCATATGAACTAAAGTGAGAGCACCTTGCATGATTTTGAAGCTGTTTATTTTGGCCGTAGATGCTAAAATTCTATCCTGGAAGTGTATTATTGTTAAAAATTTGATTTTGAATTAGGTTGCACACTAAAAATCTGCACCTAGAATCTGAATTTTGTGTCTCATTTGAGCTTCAAGTGATATTTAGTGTAGAATATGGAAACAAAAGTTGAATTCTAAATTTTAATCTTTATTTGTTTTTAAAGAAACACATTTACTTTACTACTTGATGGTTTATTTGAGTATGTATTGGCAAGTAGTAAGCTTTGTCTAGCCATAGATGTTAAATTGGGCGGCTTCTCGGAGACAACCCATTTACTTTTTTTTAAGCATTTTTATTTATTTATTTATTTTTATGTAAGTTCTTTTACTTCTAACTTCTAGTAATTATTGTACTTTTTTTTTCTTCTTCTCTTATAGTTGTTGATTGCATTTTTTTTTCCTTCTTAATTTTTTTATCATTACCCACTTACTTTTATAGCGTTTTTAATTTTTCTTAAAGTTCCTTATGCTTACTACTAACTTTATTTTGTTGTTGTACTTAATTTTTTTCCCCTTTGTAATGGTTAATTTGGTTTTTATTCTCTTTCTTTTAATAACTAACTTACTTTTCTTGTAATTGTTATTCCAAATGGATCTAGTTGTACTTATTGTAATTATAGGAATTTTTTTTCTCTCTTTCATTTAGTTTTTTTTAATGTATAAAATAAAAAAAAGTGATCTTGTTGAGCTTAATTGTTTATTTTTACTTTACCTGTGCTTCTAACCATCTACTTTGAGAGATTTTTGCAAGATTTGTTAAGTTTTAGGTGGAAGCATGGTGTTTGGAGTAAATATCTGCACATTATGGTGCAAAAAAAAAATTTGTTTTAAAACAGGGGCTCGAAGTGCTCGGGTGTTGGTATGCCATTAAATTTCAATTTTCTTAAGCCTTCTGTGTTTATATTTGATCATTTATGAGATGAAAATTGAAAAATTCTGCACTTTTAAGGCTGATTTTTGAGTACCAATGGAAAAATTCTGCACTTCTCAATTTGATTTTTGGGCTATAAACTGAAAATATGCACCTTGTAAGCTTGTTTTTTTGAGTGCAGAATGAAAATTCTACACTTTTCACGGCTTATATGTGCTAAATTAGAAAAAATCTGCATTATTTGAAATCTGATTTTTTTGTTCTTCAATGCTAAAAAAACTTGGTTTTAGCCTTGTCTTTGCAGATTTTAGGTCCATCGAGAACTTAAAGGAGGGAAAAATAATGAAATGATGCCGCGTATACTTTTTTAAATTATCATTCCCATTCCATTCTTTTGGTTGTTGCGTTACTCCCCATCCTCTTCTCTCTTAGCTTATTCTCTTGGTTATATTGTTGTTTTCTCATTTGCATATCATTTAGATGCATTGAGGACTATGCATTTTAAGTGTGGGGGGAGGTTCTCATGTTTATTCCGTTGTTTGGGGGAGTATATTTTTGGGCAATTTTTTTTAAGTTTTGGGTCTAAATATTTTTGTCATTCTTAATTGCATATCTCCTTATTTAGAGCATTGTTTTTAAACATTGACCCAAAAACTTCAATTTTTTTTTGTGCTTTATTTTGAAAGATAACAAATGTTTCTTTGCAAGCTTGTCTTGAGTCTTAAGCCCATTTTCTTGGTAAAAAATGACCTTTAAAATGTTTGAAATCCTTCTAGGAATCCCATAGAATTTTGTTTTCTAGAACTGGTCATCCACATATTATCTAGATGCTGCCTAATCAACCATTGCTTGATATTAAAATTTGGAAAAAACAAACAGAGAGAAACCAGTTTTAGGAGCCTTTTATTTTTAGAAAATTGAGTGATTTTTATATTTTTAGGCTTATTGATGAACCTTGCTACCGCTGCTATTGAGCCATTCTAAACCATAGGATTCCACTAGGAAACTTTTTTGTAGCAGCTTTAGAGCATTTGTTAGAACCCAAGAAAATCCACATCATAGTTCTCCATCCTTGTAGGATTTCAAGCTCACTTTATTTTTTAAATGCTCTGGGCATAAAGTCTTAAGTGTGAGTTTGTAAGGTGCACTTTGTTTTTCTTGATGATGATAAAAAGTTTGGTTTCTTTTGGTCTTTTGAACGAGGACGTTCAAGTCTTAAGTGTAGGGGTTTAAGGTTCACTTTGTTTCTTCTTGACGATGAGAGAAAAGATTCAAATGGTTTCTTTTTGGTCTTTTGAACGAGGACGTTCAAATCTTAAGTGTGGGGGTATTTGATAACTCGGGTTTGGGTTAGTACTTTTTATTCAATTTTAGGCATTTTTAATACTTTTAGAGTTTAATTTTTAGTAGTTTAGCTTAGTTTTCATTTTAATTCTCATTTCTACAATCTTTTAATTTTCTTTCAAAAACAGTAGTTTTTTAATCATTTTTTACATTCTATTATTTTCTTTTCTTTTATTTTATTTTTCCTAACCCAAATTATCAGATATCTTATTTTTTGAAAAAAAAATGTAGAAAAAGGCCAAATCGAAGTTCATGTTTGAAAGGAAGCAATCAAAATTGGTTTGAAGCCCAATCAATCATCAACAAAAAGAAGTGGCCCGTTCTTCTTTTGTCTTTTTGATGCGCACAATAAAAAAGCGGAGACTTCTTCTTTGCGAAAGCAGCGGTGACCTTCTTCGACCTAGGCGCTCCAACGTCTCTCCAAGATTTTCGCGACATTCAAGTCTCCAACGGGAAGAATTTGGCTCCTCCATTCTATAAATTGGAGCTTCACAAGATGGAAAAGAGGGGGGAAAAGAACGTGAGAGAATCACAGAGAGTAAAGAGCCGCTGCTATCTACACAGCTCCGATGGCGGTGGGCGGTGGAGGAGGCGACACCCAGTGGCGGNCTTGTTTGTTATTTTCATAAAAATTGGGATTGTTTAAGCGCAATAAACAACTCTTGATTTAATGAAAATATGTAATGTTTTTCTTATGTGAATAGATTACAATTCTTATGCTTCAGTTATTCAAGGAGACCTGCAAAATATTTTCATCATTAGACGTTAAAGTTTATTAAAGTGTATCAAATGTTCTTCATGAATACTTTGTGCATGGGAGTTAGAATGAAAGAAAGATTCGCTCTTTTATAAACTTTTTCATCTTTTGGAATCATTATTTGAGCGCTTGAGGTGAGTGGGGGTTCAAAGTAACCAAAAGGCCTTTGAATCTTTGACTCCGGGCCTTATAGAGAGTTGACGATCCTCTATATGTGGCCAAGGATATGAATCAACTCGAGCCTTTGAATTCTTTTCTATTGTTAGGTGCATAAGTTACGTAATATATTGTCTAAGTGGCTATTATACGTGTAATGTTCTATTTGTGTTCGTTCTCTTTTTAATTTTGTTTCGGGTTCTTGGCGGTGTTTCTTGGGTTACCTTTGTTGGAGAAGTTGATTATCTTTTGAGATTGTTTCCCTCATTTTATCAAAAAAACCAAAAAATAAGGAAATATAAAAAACCAAAAAATATTTACTTTTTATTCAAACCCCCCCCCTTTGTGTTGTGTTTCAGTTATATTATAAGTTCTTTATTTATATGTTTTTAGTTATAAGTTTTATTATAAGTTTTATAAGTTTTATAAGTTCTTATCATATGTGTAGTTTTTTTATTTTATTTCTTGACAATGTGTGTGCATGCTTTAATGATTTCAAAATTACAAACTTTCTCCGTGGGATCGACCCTTACTTGCCCTAGCTATAGTTTTTATTTGATTATATTTTGGGGGTTAGTTAAGGTTAATTTATAAATTTTTAATTTGTTTTGGACCACACGACAAGTCCCCAACAAAGCCATACATATAGATTCATTGAGATAAGATATATCTAAATTTAACTTGAACATACCATTCAAATATCCAAATCCAATAAACGAACCATGTTTAGATAATACATATTTATCGGACTCTATGACTTGTTTATAACCACAATTATTTAATACAATACCAGACACTAAGTTTTTACGGATACCAGGAACAAATAATACATTATTTAATGTTATTGACTTTCTAGAAGTAAACATAAGCCTAACAGTTCCAATTCCTTTGATGGGTTTGGTAGACACATTCCCCATGCGCAATGTTAAGCCATCTTCAATTGGCCTCAAAGATGTGAACCAACGTTGAGCCTTGCACACATGGGATGTTGCTCCCGAATCTACCCACCATGCAACATCATCATCCTGCATATAAAATGCCTCGGATATTAGTGATACATAATTCTGAACCGAATTATCAATGTTTTCAAAATTCTGACCTTGTTGCATATTTGGGTCCTTAGACCCACTTGGACCGGCTTCTTGTTTTCCTTTCCCAACCCTGCAATCTTTCTTGAAATGCCCGGGTTTACCACACGTCCAACACGCCACCTTTTGTTTCTTGTTGACGGTGTTCTTGTCGGGCTTGTTTTTCTTCCTTTTTCCAGACTTATGCTTTCCCTTGGAACCACCATCATCCACCATATTAACACGTGATGGTCCAGCAACGTCCTTGGATTTGTTGCTTTCTCGAGCCCTCACTGATTCTTCAATCCGAAGATGAGTGCCCAATTGAACCAAAGACAAATCATCTTTGTTGTGTTTCAATTCACGTTTATAGTCTTTCCAAGACGGTGGCAACTTATCAATTACATTCGAAACAGAAATACATTCATCCTGTTTCATACCATGTAAATTAAATTGTCCCCACATACGCACAAGTTCATGGTATTGTTCCATAACCGACCTCGAATCAACCATCTTATAATTATTAAAGTCGCTAACAAGAAATTTCTTACTTGATGCATCTTCTACCATGTATTTGGATTCAAGAGAATCCCACAATTCCTTTGCAGATTCAACATTCTAATAAATATCGAAAAGGGGATCTAACAAACCGTTTAGAATGTGGCCTATGCAGAGAATGTTGTCATTCTCCCACTTGCAGCGCCTTCTGGCATGTTCAATGGTTTCGTCCTCGCGCTCTTCTGGTTTGGGAGTACTCAGCACATACACGACTTTTAGAGTCGTCAACAGGATCTGCATCTTCTTCTGCCATCTTCGAAAGTCCTGTCCTTGGAAGCCTTCTAGTTTAGCGAAGTTACTGGTTCTGTCCTTCGTCGATTCACCGTTTGTCATCTTCAACGAAAATATTCAATCTTTGTTAGGGAAATTAATGATAACTTGGATGAATCGAGAGTTGTGTAAACACTTTCAGATTGAATATTTTGGTTGTTCACTCCAAAATTCAATCGGATAAAACTCGAAAGTATCAAGAACGAAATATGAGGATTGCTATTAAAAAATCCGAACACAAATCCGACCAAGGCCTGCGGGAATTTATAAACTTGCGGCAGAGGGAGAAGACGCCTATCGCGTCTCTTTCCCAAGTTACGCGATCCTTCGCGCAGAGGTTCTCCAAAATTCGGTGCTATCCAATCGGAGGTTTTCTTTTAAAGAAAATCCGAAAATTAAAATTCCAATTGAATTTTTTTAACATAGCGCCTTGCCCAAAATAAAAAATTTTCGAGCCCAGCCAGGGGCTCTGCCCCTTGGACCGCGCAGAGGCTGCCGCCCCTTGAACCCTGCTCGGGGGCGCTGCCCCCGAACCCCTGATGTAACGGGATTTTTATCGTAACAAACTCAATGAAGCGTGCACTCCGCACCACCAAACTTCGTTGATGATTATTAGGATACCATTGGTCGAAGTTTTTCCAATTACACTAAAATATATAACATGTTAGAGATAGAAGAAGGAAACGGGATTGAAGAAGGAAAGTGTGAGAGACAGAATAAAGAAGCAGGATTGAAGAAGGAAACCGAATCCCTTTGGGATTAGGTTTAGTATCTTTCCTAGTTGGATTATGTTTAGTATTTAATATCTTTCCTAATTTGTTTAATTCTTATTTTAGTAGGAATAGGAATTTCCTTATTTACTTTAATTTACCCTCTTCCTATATAAAGAGGGTTAGATCTTTGTATTCAAAAAAAAAGTTTCATAAGAGAGAAATACAGAGAATTTCCTCCCAAATAATTCTTTCAGAAGGAGAAGAAGCCAAGGGAGTGGGCTTTCTGATTGCCTCTATGTTTTTGGAATCGGCGGTGCTTGCACAGGGCGCCGTTTGGTGTGTAGTCTCTGATTGGGACTAATATTTGGTCCCAGTCGGGGTAGACTTTTTGGTCCAATTTTCTCCAAATTGAAATCTGATTGAACCGTTGGGGTCAGACAGTCAAACTCTACATAATGATATACTACCTCCGTCCCATTTTATAACGCCTGTTTCGGTTTACGATGTTTGACTGAAATTATTTTCAAACCATTATATATTACAAATGGTATAGAATTAAAAAATAAAAATTACATATTAAAAAACTACATCAAAAGATCTACAAAACTAGTAGTGACAATAATATTTTATTTTATCAAATTGCTAACGAAAATAGAGAAAGAAAGTGAATAAAGTTTGACCCTGTGAATAGTAAACAGGCATTATAATTTGGGATGGAGGGAGTAATTTTCATTATTTATTGACAAACTTTATAAATCACTTATTTTTTTGGGTCCTTCTCAGTAATTAATTAATTATCAATTAATTAATTCTGATAGGCCTAATTTCGGGGCGTTACATTTCTCTCCCCCTTAAAATAATTTCGTCCTCGAAATTACCTGAGTCATTGATCGAAGAGTTTCGGATATTGTGTTCTCATTGACTCTTCAGTTTCTCATGTTGCTTCTTCAGTCGAATGATTCCTCCATAGTACTTTGACTAGAGGTACGGATTTGTTTCTCAATTTTTTAACCTCTCGTGCTAATATTTGTACAGGTTCCTCCTCATAAGTCAATTGTTCGTCAAGAGTTACAATTCCCTGAGTCAAGATATGCGATGGATCGGAACGGTATCTTTTCAACATCGATACATGGAATACGTCATGGATCTTGTTCAGTCCTGGTGGAAGTTCTAACCGATATGCTACTGGACCCACACGTTCAGTGATTCGATAGGGTCCAATATATCTCGGACTTAGTTTTCCCTTCCTACCGAACCGTAACACTTTCTTCCATGGTGAGACTTTCAGAAACACCTTGTCATCAACATTGTATTCGATCTCACGACGTTTCAAGTCAGCATATGATTTTTGACGATCAAAAGCCACTTGCAGTCTTTCTCTGATTAGACGAACCTTTTCTTCAGTTTCGCGGACGAGATCAGGTCCTTCAAGCCTTTGCTCGTTTAATTATGTCCAGCATACTGGGGTTCTACAACGTCTCCCATACAAGGCTTCGTACGGGGCCATTTGGATACTCGCTCGATAACTGTTGTTATAAGCGAACTCCATTAGCGGTATGTATTGTTCCCAGTTGTTTCCAAAATCAATTACACATGCTCTCATCATATCTTCAATAATTTGAATTGTCCTTTCAGATTGTCCGTCAGTTTGAGGATGAAATGCCGTACTAAAGTTAAGTTCTTTCTGCAAACTCTTCCAGAATTGCGACGTGAATCGCGGATCACGATCAGAAATGATAGACAAAGGTACACCATGTAATCTCACAATTTCACGGATGTACAATTCTGCCAATTTCTTCAAAGACATATCACGTCGAATTGGGACAAAATGAGATGACTTGGTTAATCGGTCAACGATTACCCAGACAGCATCATTCTTCTTGGCTGATAATGGAAGTCCGATCACGAAGTCCATCGTAATCCGTTCCCACTTCCATTCAGGGACAGCAGGTGGATGTAACAACCCACTTGGCACTTGGTGTTCAGCCTTGACTTGTTGACACGTCAGACATCGTGTTGTAAATTCAGAAATTTCCCGCTTCATTGTGGGCCACCAATATGTCTTCTTTAGATCTTGGAACAATTTATTACTGCCAGGATGCATGGTATATGTGGTTTCGTGAGATTCATGCATTAAACGTTCCTTCACTTCGCCACTAGGAACTACCAAACGATTCCGGTAGAATAAAATTCCATTATTTACAGTGAAATCTTGTCTCTCCCCCTTAGAGACAAGTTCACAAGTCTTCAAACAGTAGTCATAACGTTTTTGTGCAACATGAATTTCGTTCTCAAAAGTAGGCTGGATTCGGAGTTCGGCTATCATCTTTCGGCTCAATGCGTCAGCAACTACGTTAGCCTTGCCAAGGTGATAGTCGATGTAACAGTCATAGTCTTTGATCAATTCCAACCATCTTCTTTGTCTCAAGTTCAACTCTTTTTGAGTTAGCAGGTATTTCATACTTTTGTGGTCTGTGTGAATATATGTCGTTTCTCCAAAGAGATAATGACGCCATATCTTCAGAGCAAATACAACTGCTGCTAATTCGAGATCGTGAGTAGGATAGTTACATTCGTGAGGTTTCAACTGTCTTGGTGCGTATGCCACGACTTTTCTGTCTTGCATGAGTACACATCCCAAGCCATTATGAGATGCATCACTAAAGATTGTGTAGTCTACGCCTGGTACTGGTTGTGTCAGTACAGGTGCTTCTGTCAGACATTTCTTTAGTTTCTCAAAGCTTTGCTGACAAGCATCGGTCCATACGAATTTCACATCTTTTCTTAGAAGTTTGTTAAGTGGAGTTGCGATCGAGGAAAAGCCTTCAACAAATCGTCGATAGTATCCAGCTAATCCTAGAAAGCTTCTCACTTCACGAACATTCCTTGGAACCTTCCACTCGGTGATGGCAGATATTTTACTGGGGTCCACTTTAACATCTTTTTTAGAAATCACATGTCCCAAAAACGTAACTTCCTCAAGCCAGAATTCATACTTTGACAGTTTGGCATATAGTTTATGTTCTCGTAGTATGCTGAGTACTATCTCCAAATGTTTCGCATGGTCTTTTCAATTCTTTGAATAAACAAGAATATCATCGATGAATACAACCACGAATTGATCAAGATAAGGTCGGAATACACTATTCATGAGATCCATGAATACTGCAGGAGCATTGGTCAAACCAAAGGGCATTACCGTAAACTCGTAATGACCATAACGAGTACGGAATGCAGTCTTTGGGATGTCCTCTTTCTTTACAAGGATTTGATGGTATCCTGACCGTAAGTCAATCTTAGAGAATATAGTGGATCCTCTAAGCTGATCAAATAAGTCATCGATACGAGGTAAAGGATATCGATTTTTTATTGTGACTTTGTTCAATTGACGGTAATCGATGTAGAGTCTCATCGAGCCGTCTTTCTTTTTGACAAACAGAACGGGTGCTCCCCAAGGGGAAACGCTCGGACGTATGAATCCTTTATTGAGCAGTTCTTGTAGCTGAGCCTTCAACTCGTTCATTTTGGCAGGAGCCATGCGATAGGGGGTGCGGATATCGGTCCTGTTCCAGGAACAAGGTCGATAGAAAATTCTACTTCTCTGGAAGATGGTATACCAGGAAGTTCGTCAGGAAACACATCAGGAAAACCACACACTGTCGGTATGTCTTTCAACTCAGGAGTTTCCTTTCGTGTGTCACGTACGTTACACAGATAAGCTTCACATTTCATCCGAATGAGGCGCCTAGCGTGTATGTACGAGATGAATTCAGTAGATTTAGGTGTTAGCTTCTCTTTCACCTCTATAGACTTCCCCTCTCCCGACTTTAGTTGAATCGTTCGTTGTCGGCAATCGATAACTGCTCGGTATTTGGTGAGCCAATCCATTCCGAGGATGATGTCAAATTCTTTGTACGGTAATTCGACAAGATTGGCAGAGAACTGATGTCCTTCAACAATCAATGGACAGTCTTGATACACATGATCTAACCTCATACTATGTCCTAACAGGTTAGATACTAGTATAGGTTGTTCTAAATTTTCTTTCATTACGTCAGCTTTGTCAGGCATAGGCACGCAGATATAAGGTAACATTGATCCAGGGTCTATCAATACATACATGACAATATCGAATAAGGAAAACATACCCTGAATGACGTCAGGGTTTTCCTCAGCTCGTGCCTTCATTGCATAAGTACGAGCAGGAGCCCGTCCCTGTTGCTGACCCTGGTTCTTGGTCGGATTAGATCCTGCCGTCGATCGTTGACTTAGCGCAGGTCATGCTGATGCTGATTGGCTGACAACTGGGGCTGTCGGAAATGGTTTGCCAGGATTAGTGGGGCAATCCCTTCGAAAATGTCTAGGTTTGCCACAACCTAGACATAATCCTTCGGCAAGCCAACACTCGCCTCGATGATGTCTCCCACATGTATCGCACAATGGGTGTTTCCACCCTCTTGATTTGTTGTCCGACGCCACAGAGTGCGTCTGCACCGATTTCCCCTTCTTTGAGAAGTGTGAATTGGTAGATTCCTGGAAGGGCCTTTTCCCTTTTGAGGTAGAGCCGGTGGAACGGTGAGTGCTTGAGCCGACATTGTTTGTCTTCAGATATTCAATGCAAGAACTCAAGTCACTGTCTGCCCTAGCTATGATATCGTAGGATGCCGCGAAATCCACAGTGGTTAAGACGGACACCCGCGACCTGAGGTCAGGTCAAAGTTTCTTCCTGAACTCCTCAATGCGATCAGTTGGGGTGCTCACCAGAGATGGTGCAAACTTTGCAAGTTTAGTAAACTTCTGACAATATTCAGGGAGTGTCATATCTCCCTGTTGCAGCTCAACAAATTCCTTACGTCTATCTTCGCTAAATCGTTTAGGAATATAGTCTTGTTTGAACGCCCACTCAAAATGTGCCTAAGTCCACGGCTTAGGGGTTTCTGTACTCTCATCGGTCCTCTTCCACCATTCGTAGGCTTCCTGCCGAAGCAATTGTGCAGCCAATCTGGGATAATTACCGGTGGGTACGTTAAGGTCTTCCAACACTCGAGCAGTCTCCTCGATCCAGTCCCATGCAATTTGGGGTTCACTGATGCGATCCCCAAGGAATAATTCTGCACCATTATCCCTTAGCGTTTTGTAGGTTATCACACGAGGTGGCGGTGGTGGAGGTGGTTGAAACATTGGCGCATTGGCTATCTGTTGTAACACATTAGCCAAAAAAGTTAGAATCACAAGGTCGGGTTGACCACCAGCGTTCGGGTTATTCCCAACATTTTGTTGATTGACGGGTTCATTTTGGACGGGAGGAGTGAAGCTAGATGCTTCAGTATGAATACTGACGTGTTCATTGTTGTTGCCTTGTCCGTGGGTAGATTCTTGACTCATTCTACAATAACAGAAATTCCTTTATTAGGATTCTTTTATTCAGTAGTTGAGTTTAAGACCGGAATTGCAAAGGATTACAATAGTCGATACAATCAATGGATTTGAAACGAACAACAAGATAATTTCTAAGCGTTTGCGTTTGATTGGTTGGATCGTGACGAATCTACCGATGGATCTTTCTTGCCCGACCCACATACGCTATTCGCAGAGTCTATGCTGAACGTCTCTTCTGGGTCATCTCGTTCCCATGCAGCCTTGCGGCACAGATAAATCCTTCGTTTCATTATTCTTGCGAAGCGATGTGCACATTGGTAACGTATCAACGAGTCATAGACATTTCGTTTGTTCTTTCGTCTTTTACCAAGTACGAAAGTGGGACTTGAATCAATACTTGATATTATTTCCGAATACTCATTTTTTTAATACCTTCCTAGAGCAGAGGGATGCGAGAGTCGTGGATTTGATGGATTTTTTTTTTAAAAAAACAAACTTTTGATCCGAAGATCAGTTTTAAAACCATTTGCTCCGATACCAAATTGTAACACCCTAATCCGTCCAGGTCTGCAGCCCCTTTCGGACTAAAGTATTGATTTGGTAATCGTGATAATTTAAAACATTTCAAACATTTTCATTATAAATAAATAATATTCCATACATAACTATAGAGAAATACGGAGTGTTTAATTAAAATGCGAAAGCGACTTTAAAATATGTCTCATAGCAACATAATTATTTATTTCATTTAATAATCCACCACGACTGTCTCGCCCCTTCCGCTTCCAGGAGTATGCTAGCCATTCATTCTGTTTATTTGCGTGTAGCAAATAAAACACACAACACGCTCAGCGGTGAAGCTGAGTAAGCATATCTAAAGCGCCGAACATCCACATAAATTGAATTTCGATTCATAATCAACCATTTGATATCATGCACACAATATATAATTCAAACATTCATGATATTCTCAATATTTTATTCCAAGTCATTTGATATTCAATATCTCAACAATGCTCTTAGCTATTCCTAGTCTAAGGCAGTAATTCTAACCAGGCCCTTAAACTATAAATAGTTTAATGCAGAACACAAGAATCGATAATGCACTCTATGAGTCCCGTGGATTACGTACCAACCGAACAATGATTTGTCGGGTGGGTGATATCCGGTCTGGATCCCGTACGCGCGTTTTAACCCGAAATATGAATTGGTCAAGTAGGTATATCTTAGAGTTTTTCTAGATATCCTTAATAATCATCATCAATATACAAGTGGGTATATCTTAGAGTTTTTCTAGATATCCTTAAAAATATACACTGTTTTCATAATCACCATTTATTCATTTTTAATCATGACTTAATCATCAATAATCATTCTAATCAGTAGGTTTATCATTCATAATTATCCATAATAATTATTCATCATAATGATCATTCACCATAACATTTAATAGCAAACAGCGGCCTAGTCTCGGTGTTAACACCCGAACTTACCGTCATGCATCACATCATGTTTTATATGCCAAAAACATCATTTATTATACAAATCATATTTAAATTGTTCATAATTAATTGGTATTTTTAGAGAATATTTCCAGGAATATTTTCGGAACACTGGAATTGAGCAAAAATCAATTTACTCAATAAATTAATACAAAAATCGATTTTTAAATATATATTAATCTATTAAATATACAAAAATCAATTTTACAACATATATTAATCTATTAAATACACAAAAATCGATTTTATAACATATATTAATCGATTAAATGGAAAAATCGATTTTATAACATATATTAATCGATTAAATGGAAAAATCGATTTTATAATACATTTTAATCGATTAAATACAAAAATCGATTTTATACTTTACTATAATCGATTATTATTATTATTTTATTTTGATACGCGTTATCTGAACAAGTTTTAATCGATTCTTAGGAAGAAAATAATCGATTTTCGGTCAATTCGGTCACTGTTCATCGTCTTCTACCTTTGGTCCATTTTCGGAAATATAAATTTTAGTTACCAAACTTCAATTAAACTTTATAGAAATGTTCTCCAAGGTTCATAGATCATTTTAGAATCATTAAAACATATTTTTAACATCAAATTCAAGGTTTGTGATTCTTGGTTCTTCAAACATGTCAAACACAGAACTCAACCAAATGACCATTTATGAACGTAAAAACAACCTATATGAACATTCTAATCTTTAGATATATCTACGGGCTTACCTTGAAGCTTAACGAAGATTCCGGCGAAAGAACGGCGAAACTTCCGGCGACGATAACTCTCTGTTCCGGCGACTTCACACCAAAATGGCAGCACTACAACCCTCCTCACACTCTCAGGAACACTTAGGAAGAAAAATGGAGTAGAATGGTGAAGAATGGAGCTTGAACGGCCTTCTTATATAGTGAATGTTAGAATAAGTGACCAACGCTAGAGGGGGGGGGGGGGTGAATAGCGTTTGATCGTAGAAATCGCAGGAATTAAAAAATTAAAAGAGAAGTAAAGAGAAGAGTAAGAGGCACACCGAATTTTACCCTGGTTCACCACAACTTGTGGCTAATCCAGCCTCCCGAGAGACTCTCTCGAGCTACACTACTATCTCGTTAAGCTTGCGGGTGCTTAACAAACTGTTACAACTTGAGAGTTCGAGTTACACGAACCTCAACGAGTCCTTCAAAGGAAACAACCCTTCCTTTGAATCTACCGAGAGAAATACTTTCTCTCAAAGTGTCTAAGAACACGAATACACTCAAGAACGAGGCTCTCTTATAGAGTAGATTATGAGTAAACTAAGTACGCTCAAGAACACAACATAAGTTTCACAAAAATGGCTTTCGAAAAGCTATGAATAATGTATGAATAATATGTAATGAAAGAATAGGAGTTGTGAAGTAATGTGATGTTAAAAACAGACCCAAACACCCCATTTGTGGGATTTGATTAAAATTGGGTCTGCTGAAAATCTTCTAGACAGCGCTGTCCTAGGCTTAGACATCGCTGTTCTAGGTTTGGTTTTGAAAATTGGGAAGCAACGGTCATGCCAACAGCGATGTCTAATACTCCTACATCGCTGTTTTGGCTGTTGACTTCCAAACAAGGAAAGTTTTAGCCTTAAATTCCTTCCAACAGTCAGGTCCTTACATCGTTGTTCAATACTTGAACATCGCTGTTTAGGTCTGACTTTGAAGGTGGAGTTTTGGCCTGACAGCGCTGTTGCTGGGTCAACATCGCTGTCCTGAAACTTTCTTCCAATGCACTATATTTTTGGCTTAGGTTGGACAGCGCTGTAGGGAGGCCTACATCGCTGTTCCAGAAGTTTCTGGAAATCCAACCTTGGCTCAACAGCGATGTCTAACATCCAACATCGCTGTTGGAAGACTTAACGCCAAACTATGGTTTTCAGTTACCCAATCCAGACAGCGCTGTTGGTTACACCAACATCGCTGTTGGGCTGGTTTAGCCAGACCCATGGTTGGTTTAGTCAGCCGTTAGCCGATGTCAAAAATGTAAGTTCTCCAAAATAAAAACCAAGTATTGAAAATGTTTGTTTGATGCATTTTGCTAAGAAATCAAGTAAAAAATTTTGAAAACCACGTCATTTAGTTGAAAACCACGGCTAGCCAAGTTTACGTCGTTTTGCATGGTTTTCACTAAATGACAAAAAACGAAAGGTGGTTTTTGAAGCGCTTTTGTTGGAGAACTATTTAAATATGCCCAGAAGTAAAAGCTAATCATTAAAAGTTGAAAACCACTTGGTTGGTTCGAACGCCAAAAAACAACGCCGATAACCGAAAGCCGAACGCCGGTTTCCGAAGACCGAACGCCGGATGGCTTGGTTTTTGGTTTGGGCGAACTCCAAGTGTTTTCAGGAAGGTTTAAGACTTAAGAAAATCATTTTGAATATGCAAAAAATATTTTGATGAAATGAGCCTAGAGAGCCATGTTTTGAAGGTTTGTGCCGGTCTTGATCACATTAAAACCGACTCAATATAATTCTAAGTCTTCGTTCTTGATTCTTGGTTCTTGGTTCTCAGTTCATCATGCCATGTTCCTTCGCCTTGGTTTTGCTTAGTTTAACCTCGTTATTGTCACGGCGGTTTGGCATTATCAAAACCTGTCATAAAACGAACACGGCTTAGTACGACATAGGCGTAAACCCGTGTTCCAACAGTGAAGGGAAGGAGAAGAAGCCAAGGGAGTGGGCTTCCTGATTGCCTTTGTGTTTTTGGAATCGGCGGTGATTGCACAGGGCGCCGTTTGGTGTGTAGTCCCTGATTGGGACTAATATTTGGTCCCAGTCGGGGTACACTTTTTGGTCCAATTTTCTCCAAATTGAAATCTGATTGAACCGTTGGGGTCAGACAGTCAAACTCTACATAATGATATAATTTTCATTATTTATTGACAAACTTTATAAATCACTTATTTTTTTTGGGTCCTTCTCAGTAATTAATAAATTATCAATTAATTAATTCTGATAGGCCTAATTTCGGGGCGTTACAAGCACACATTGTGAAACCAACATTCCAGGCAAAGTCGTGTGAGAATGATTCTAAAAAGAATTGCAAAAGGGAAAATTTTGTAAACTACCCCACATTCACGAAGCGCAACCCATACAAGAACTCCTGAAAACTCCAACAACACGGCAAGAGCAAGTCTAAGAGTATATTGACGCAAGTCTTCATGAAAGAAATTCAAACACGTTACATCTATCATCCGCGTAGATCTTTTCTCGAAAGAAAACATGTCATAATCATTGCACTCAACAAAACAAGAGAAAAACAACTTTTCGAAATTAGTGTTTTATAAAAACAATGGATATTCATGATTTTGTACATCATCATTTTAAATGACTTCGCCTAAGGAAATTTCGGAGACGAAATTTCTTTAATGGGGGAAGAAATGTAACGCCACAAAATATGGCCTAAAATTTATTATAAAACTATAGTTTTAAATATCATTTTTTTTGTCCAATAAGGAATATTTATACGTTTGACTAAAAACAAATGGCTTTTAAAAATCATGACTTTTTGTTAAAAACTTATTTTTATGGATATGTCTCGAAGAGACGAATCCAACAGTATATTTTATGAACCAATCTGATTTATAGATTTAAAGTTATGACGATTTTAAATATTAAAATTTGTAACTTTGACCCATAAAATAAACTCAATTCAAAAGAGATTTCATAAGATTAGAAATATTAATCTTTGACACTTGAGAACACCATATTCATCATTGGAATATAATTCATATATTTTTATCTCATTCATATTATAAAATTAATTTATGACAGAGACAGACCCATACATTAAGAAAAATAAAAGTTATCAGAAAAATATTTTGATTACGTCAAAATTCTAATTTTGACTGTCTCAATTCAAAAACACAATTCGTTTTCAATTCGGAGCAGTTTGGACGAAAAAGTGCGTACCGTTCGGGATAAATTTATCAGTTTAGACTAAAAGCCAATGTTTATTTCTCCTCAAATCTTCACAAATCGGACAGCCACCTTAGGAGGAAATTTCCTAAATGTTTTAAAAGTCTCTCCAAGCTTCATTATTCACCTCACTACCTAATAAGCCAAATGACTTTGGCTATTAAAGTCTATCCCAATTTCCTCTAAATTTCCTAAAGCCAATCACGACACAACTCCTTTGTCTCTCTCTCTCTCTCTCTCTCTCTCTCTCTCTCTCGTGTAAACTATTGGCCAAAGAAGGAAGAAAACACATTAATACTCCATAGTTGGTTCAAGGAAGAAGAAGAAGCAAGAAATCATCCAAAATTTCCAAATCTTGAGTTCAAAACGCAGCAGCAACTGCAAGGTAAAATCTGAAATTTTCCATCCATTATCTCGAAATACTTTCTAAACCCAATTTGTAGTCCTGGACGATACGAATCCAGCCCAACAAATGGCTCGCAATTTCGTTAAGTAACGAAGACGATATGGCCAAAATACCGGGACTGCGCCAGAGGTGGCGAGCTCCTCGGGTTGGACCATTTTCCTCACCATATTCATGTTGTTTCATACCAAACACTTCCCATAAACTCTCTAACGATTATTAGGAATATCCGGAAGGTATCGTACAGAAGGTTCGATGTTGGAATATTGAAGTTAATGAGTTAATTGTCGGAATCGTTGTTCATCGACATATCCGAAATCCTGGACAGCAACTATCCTTTGACTTCAGGTCCGATTTACGCTATCTTACATCTGTTAACTCGAAATACTTTCTATACAAAAGTTATAGCCTTACATCTTAGGAATCCACAGAATCAAACGGGTTGCAATTCCGTGAAGAAACGATGGAGATATGCCCAAAATACGGCAGGCTGTCCAATTGTGACGAGAATGACAAAGTTGGTGAATTTCGATGTTGTTTCCACTCCCGCTCATCCGTAAGGTTTCAGCCAATGATTTCCAGGTCTATACCCTTACGTTAGACTTGTCGAATCATTCATCACATATGTACATGAACATATATGTTAATCCATATGTTGAAACTATCTCCAAAATGTATATGTGATACATATATATGTCATCTATATGTGGAGATCAAAATACACCAAATCCATAAAGTTAATTTATACATAAGTAAATATAAACTTTGGAAATCAACCCAACAATATGTATATGTTAATCAAAGGTGTTTAAAAGGCTTAAAGAAGTATTTTGGACATTCAAAATATCAAGAGTAAGATTCGCATACCCAAACGGTCGACTGTCGCATAAAATTACCAAAACGGACCACGACTGTCAACGGAACGGTCGACCGCCGTAGCCAAACGGTCGACTGTCGCAACCCAGCCGAACGCCGCTACGTCCAACCAGTCAACAACGGTCGACCGCCGGCCAGGCACAGTCGACCGTCACGGTGATCCAAAATTTACGAGATGATTTTAGGCACGATTGACCGCCGTGTCAAACGGTGGACCGTTCTGAGCCCCGTAGCTTATTTAAATGATATTTTAATCATGTCTCAACCCAAATAAATTAATGTATGATTACATATCCATGTTGTTTACAAATTGTTCATATAATATGATTCATTTCACCATCCATATTGAAGCATATCACATCATATGCATGTGTAAGAGATCATGCCTCGTGCGTCTCTTATAGCGTGATTGTGCGGGACTTAGCAGTCCGACATCACACGTTCGGGCTTAGTGTACGTACATGGTATTCAGGCTTTCGAGTACCACCCCCATTTTTCTAGTCTCACCTCATTCGTGGGACTAAGGTGGCGTGAGTCGTCGTACAACCTGGGTGAATCTCATAGCGCAAGGGTCGTCCTTGCATGTTTAGGTTCATGCATCATGTTATCATCATCAAGTACAATTATATTGATTACATAGGTGTCATGTTATCATCATCAAGTACAATTATATTGATTACATAGGTGTCATGTAATCATCATCAAGAACAAGTATATTGATCACATAGGTGTCATGTAATCATCATCAAGAATAATTATATTGATTAAATATGCCATCAGGTAATCATCATTAAATATCCATCATCATAAACTATTGACTTGATCATATTACATAATGTGCCATATGATGAACATTGTTATACATTTTTGTGGACATATATATATGTATATGTATATGTCTGTGAAGTATTCTACAGTTCTAGCGTGGTACCACTCAGCGGTTTCGCTGAGCGTGTAGTTTGTATTTTTCGTTGACTACACGTAGGTAACAAGAAGATAATGATGGAACCACTCCTGGAGGGCTTTGAGTCAGATGCGATGCAAGAATGGCAGGCAAATGTTTGATCATCAAGATTTTAAATGTGTCATAATTTGATTATTATTGTACTTCCGCATTACTCCGAAAATATTTTAATTGGGTCGCGATCCAGAGTCTGTAAATTTAATATTTATAAGTAATTGTCATTTTCAAATGTCAAGCGAAATTTTTAATTAACCCTCGTTTCACCTTAATTCGTGTAATTCCGGGTTATACAGATTAGTGTGTTACAATGACGACGAGGACGAGGACACCGATTCCTAGACTCTTCTTATTATATCATTTCCTTTAATATGATTGTATTTTTTATTTCTACTCCGTTGTATTCCGTATTTCCCTTTTAATCAATAAAAGTTTACTTTTAATTCTTTTTGTAAATGTCAAAAGGGGGAAGATATAAGGGTTATGCATAGATTGAGGGGGAACTTTTACTAAGGCACAAATTGTTTACAATATAAAAACACAAAGATTTGGTTGAAAATAAATTTGCTTCTATTAAGGGGGAAATTTTTTAAGTCTCAAAGCAATCCTCCTATGCATAATCCCATCTTGTTTGTCATCATCAAAAAGGGGGAAATTGTTGAAACACGGGTTTTTCACGTCTTCGTACTAAAACCGTGTTCGTTTTTATGACAGGTTTTGATAATGCCAAACCCCCGTGATCAAGACAAAACATTAAATATACAAGGCGAAGAATGAAGATAAGAACAAGAGCTAAAAGAAGACCAAGAACAAAGACCATAGTCTTAGTATCGTTGAGTTGGTCACAAATGTGATCAAGACTGACCCAAATCTCACGCCCTGACTCTTTAGGCTAAAATCTATTTTTGCATTTATCATATCATAAAAATGTTTCTCAAACATGTTTAATACATTAAAAACACTTGGTGTTCGCCCAAACAAAACAACAAGCCATCCAGCGTTCGGCTTTCAGAAACCGGCATTAGGCTTTCAGAAACCGGCGTTCGGCATTCGGTTATCGGCGTTGGTTTTTGGCATCCGAACCAACCAAGTGTTTTTCAGCATTTTATGACTGGTTTTTACTTCTGAGCATGTTTAAACAATTCGCCAACAAAAACACTTTGAAAATCACCTTTCGTTTTTGGTCGTTTGGCAAAAACCACGCAAAACGACATAAACTTGGCTAGCCATGGTTTTTACTCAAATGACGTGGTTTTTAAAGTGTCTCACTTGATTTATTAGCCAAATACATCAAATAAGTGTTTTAAACACTTGGTTTTAATTTTGGAGAACTTTGGATTTTTCGGTCGGTTTTTGCATCGGTTGGCTAGGCCATGGTTCAGGCAAAAACCATGGGTTTTTGACTAACCATCCACCCAGCGAAGGAAAGAATTTCCCATCAATGGGTAAGCGGGCATTTAGCCTAACCGAGTTCCAGAACCATGCCAAACAGCGATGGGAAGTTCTACCCATCGATGTTAAAGCCTTGGTCCAACATTAACACAAGGCAGAATGACCTTACCCAGCGATGGGGACTTTTACCCATCAATGGGAACCCAGCGATGGGAGGGCACACCCATCGCTGGTTAGGCATGACCGTTGTAAGTCATTTAAGGTTGATTCTTTCCTTGTTTGGAAGTCAACCTCCCACCCAGCGATGAGAAGCTTGTACCCATCGATGGGTAGGTGATTGTTGGCTTCAAAACTGAAGGAAAAGTGGCTTACCAGCGATGGGTAAGTCCATACATCGCTGGGAAAGCCAATATCCTACAGATCCACATTTTAATCAATCCCATAAATCAAGCCAATCACCCCTCTAATGCCTTGGTCCGTTGGAGCCTATTTTGGAACTATAAAAAGGGGTGTTTGGGTCTGCTTTACAAAACAATTAACTTCACAATATTCATATTATCATTGCATTCAAACAACATCATCTTCCATAGCTTTCTAGAGCCAATTCGGGTGAAATTTGAGTTGTTCTTGAGCGTATTTAGTTTACTCAATATCCACTCTTAAAGAGAGCTTGGTTCTTGAGTGTATTTGTGTTCTAAGACACGTTGAGAGAAAATATTTCTCTTGTTTGATTCGAAGGAAGGGTCGTTTCCTTCGAAGGACTCGTTGAGGTTCGTGTAACTCAAATTCTCAAGTTGTTAGGGTTTGTTAAGCACCGTTAAGCTTAACGAGATAGTAGTGTAGCTCGAGAGAACCTCTCTGGAGGCTGGATTAGCCACAAGTTGTGGTGAACCAGGGTAAATTCAGTGTGCCTCTTACTCTTCTCTCTACTTCTGCTTTAAATTTTTTATTCCTGCGATTTCTACAATCAAACGCTACTCACCCCCCCTCTAGCGTTGGTCTTTTATTCTAACATGAAGAAGTTTTGTAAACTTCAAACGAAGAAAGAAAAGGTTGAGGGTGGCCCTGTGTGCTATGGATGTGGTGAAGCCAGGCATATCAAGAACAAATGCCCAAGAAGCGGAAGGAATGCTCGTCACGTCAAAAAGAAAAGAGCATACATCTCTTGGGGAAGAGACTCCGGCGATAGGTCAAGCGAGCAAGAGGAAGATGAGGAAGCAAACCTTTGTCTCATAGCTCAAAAAGAAGAAGAGTCATCCAACGATGAAAACCAAGAGTTATGTATTTCTTCTTCCGACTCTTATACTTTTGAAGAAATGCAAAAAGTACTTCGTGAACTTTATGATGAATTTGTTAAAGCTTCTAAAACCAACAACTACTTAAAGAAGTGTATCTTGTAAAAGAAGCACCGAAAAACCGGAAAGTTCATCAAACGAGTGTGAATCTTGTAAAGCTTTAATCAAACACCTAGACAACCTAAGGCTCAACGTAGGAAATCAAAAAATTGGGATATTAGAAAATCTAGTCAACCTAAGAACACTAGACAACATGCTAGATCATCTAGAAGTAATTATCAAAACAATTTTACAGATAAATATCATTTTTCACAAAATAGGAGAAATAATGATAGACCACCTAGAAATGATCTCTTTGAAAATATGCATAAACCAATTTTTCCTAAAAATAGGACAAACGGTGTTAGGCCCCCCTAGCTATTACTGTAACGCCCCAAAACATACCCTAAAATTATTAATGAATAAATAATCAATTAATCAAATTTGTTTTGATTAAAATAAATTATTGTTGGGCTTTGGACTGATACGAAATTTTTTTTGACATCTAATATCAGAATCTGGATAAGTCTCATAGAAATAAATCCAATATGTGGACTATTTGTGTGGTCTTGATTTGGAACCTGAGTACAGACCCAAATCAAGAGTAAATAAAGAATTTGTTTAGAATGTAAATATTGAAATGATTTGTTGAAATAAATCATGAGAATAATTGATATGAATTAAATGAGACAACCTTTTATGAGAAAGGTCAATTAAACCAATTTTGACTCTATCAAAGTCAAACACCCAAAAATATGATGTCGGAAAAAGTATTACAAATAAATATAAAAATTATATAGTTGGATATAGTTTAATATCCGATCGCAATGGTACAAACGGAATTTAATTCGGAGAAAGTTGGACCAAAAAGTATACCCTGACTGGAACCAAAATTGGTCCCAATCAGGGAGACTGTGCAGACGGTGCCTCCTCCTCCAAATTGAGTTTTGTGTTTGATATGCTTGAAGAACCAAGAATCATAAAGCATGAAATTGATGTTTAAACTATGAATTAATGATGAAAAAATGATCTATGAACCTTGGAGAACATGTCTATAAAGTTTTGTTGAAGTTCGATAACTAAAAACGGTATTTCCAAAAAATGGGCCGAAGGTTGAAGAAGATGAACAGTAAGCTGAAGAACACTGCCTAGATCAATCCTACGGCTTGGATCGATCCTCAAGGAAGATTTTTACATATCATGGATCGATCCAGAGGGCTGGATCGATCCCCGAAGTTCTGATCCGAAAATTTGCCTGAAATTGCTATTTTTGAGCTCTAAAATCCTATTTTTGATACCAATTGATTATAAATATTTTAAGGATGACAAGTTTTGAAACAATTTATGATATGTCAATATTAAAATCGCTTCTCAATATTGTTGAATACTCCATACTGTATCTTTTATGAAAAATATTATTGGGATTAATAAAGTGTGTTTGAAAAGTTTTAAATTTTTACGATTACCAAGTTAAATACTTTAGTCCGAATGAGGCTGCAGACCTGGACGGATTAGGGTGTTACAATTTTGGTATCGGAGCAAATGGTTTTAAAACTGATCTTGGATCCGAAAAAAAATTGAATTAAAAAAAATGTTGGTCACATCCACGACTCTGGCATCCATCTGCTCCAAGAAAAAGGTATGAGAATTTATTTGATAAATATTGAATGTGTTAAATTCTCACTAGATAACAATTGTTAAGTACTATACCAAAATAGGTTCGGTCGAACTTTCGTACTCAGTGAAGAGTAAACGAAAAATATATGACCCTCTGATACGTTATTAACGTACGCATCGCATCGTGAATGACAAAACTGATCTGCATTGCAAAAATCGAATGGAAGTGAGGCAACTCTGAAGAAACGATCTGATCCTCATGTAGACTCTAGACGATCGGATCGTTGATCTAAACACGAACGTTTAGAATCACTAAACTTTGTTATCAAAAAGTATCCAATGTTATTGTTTGACTCATTAGGACACATTATGCGATTACATAATGTGAGTCGAAATTGTTCATTAAACGACAATTCCTTCTAAAACATCGTTGAAATACCATACAAGGAAATACCATACAGCGTTCTGTTGACAACTTTTGACGAAGAATTCTTCAACTGAAGACTGATGATGATAACCTTATAGAGGTGAAAGAAAAGCCAATTTCTAAATCGACAGAGTTCATCTCAAATGAGTACACGAATGAAGATGGATCGATGAGACTCTATATCAACTACCGTCAAATGAAATCGTTATCTTTATCTCATATTTAGGACTTATTTGATCAGCTTAGAGAATCCATTGTGTTCTCTAAGATTGACTTATGGTCAAAGATACTATCATATCTTTGTTAAGACAGAAAAACTGACGATCAAGAATCGCTACCCTTTACTATGAATTGACGATTTGTTTGGTCAAATTCAAAAAACCTACTTCTTAGAAGTTATGGATAGCTCAATCTTGTTGAATGAAGTGACGCATTGTTATGACACGATTAGTGACTTAAACATCGATGTAGTTTGATAGAATAAATATCCGCTGTCAACTCGTCTATGCAAGTCAAGAATCCTAACGAAGGAATTTCTGTTATTGTAGAATGAGTCAAGAAACCGCTCACGGTCAAAGTAACCAAGTGCCAAACAACGAACAAGAGAATATTCATACCGAAGCATCTAATTTCACACCTCCTATTCAAAATGAACTAGTGAACCCACGAAATATTCTCCAAAATGATCAAAATGTTGGAGGTCAACTTGATGCTATGCTACCTACCTTAATGGTAAACTTCTTGCAACAAATGACTCATGCCCCTATGTTTCAACCACCTCCACCACCACCTCGTTTGATCACTTTCAAAACCTTAAAAGACAATGGTGCTGAGGAGTTTTTGGGAGATCGAATTGCCGAACCCCAAATTGCTCTTGAATGGATCGAGCAGACCGCTCGTGTACTACAAAATCTGAACATACCTCTTGTTGACCATCCAAAATTTGCATCTCAATTGCTCCACAAGGAAGCCTACGAATGGTGGAAACATACTGACAAAAATCCAAACACACCCAAACCTTGGACTTGTGAATTCTTCGATTGGGCGTTCAAGAAGGAATATATCCCAGCCCGATTCCGTGAAGAGAAGCATGCTGAATTTATTCAATTGAAGCAAGGAGATATGACACTCCCTAAATACCGACAAAGAGTTGTCCATCTCGCTCAATTTGCACCCACGCTGGTAAGTACAGCGGCTGACCGCATTGAAGAGTTTCGCAAAAGACTTCGACCTGATCTCAGGTCGCACGTATCTACTATTCAAACTATGGATTTCCTTGAGGCGTACGATCTAATCTCCAAAGCTGTAAAAGAACTAAGTGATTACTATGAAAGTCTGAAGACTGAGAGTGTCACTCCAAATGAATGACCAAATACAAGTGAGAAGAGACCCCTGCAAGAAATTGATAATGCCCTACACTCAAAAAAGGGAAAATCAATGAAAATTCAATCAACGTCATTGATAAGTCCGTTTTGTATGCACTTATCTTCTCTTTATCTAACGTGTTGTTGTCCAATTTTGGATTAAACAAATCAATTTCTCAATGGTTTTTATAAGTTTTTATTCATAATTGTAAAAGTGCACAAAAGTTATGTCTAGTTTTAAAAAGAATAAAAATTGAGTCAAAAGTGGTACAAAAGTGTAAAAGATTGTGCAAATGGGATGCAACGGAGCAAAGAGGCAAAAGATGGTGAAAATCCATGAAGTGAAAAATGTGGATTCAAATATGGCGATGCACCCCGTTAAAAGATTTGAGGTCAAACGGATTGAAAAAGCACCAAAAAAAGTCTTTAACAAACTTTTCTTTTTTCAATTTTTTTCAACAAAACTAAGTTTAATTAAGCAAATTGGGTTTAACCAAGCCTTAAACTTCAGCCCCGTCTTCTTTTTCAACAGTCTTATTTTAAAACTCGTTCTATCATAAAAATCTTTTTTTTTATCGGATCAGATCAAAATCCGGCCAACCAAGCGCTGCCACGTGGCGCACCCTGGCTGGCCGGCCAACTTCAGCAGCCTGCAAGTGGGTGGCGTCTTGTTCTAGCTGTCAGCCACCATCATCAATGATCATCATATAAAAAATAAAAATAAAAAGAGGAAAGGATAAGTTGATAAAAGGGAAACAAAGGGAAGGAGACGCGAGTCTCCGAATTGAGGATTTGCAGCAGTCATCCGAAGTCCGCACTAACTCTGCCCGGCGGCCGCCCCAGAGCCTGCCCCGGGAATTTTCCTGCCTATTTAAAGCGCGGCTCGGCGGAAGTTCAATCATCAATAATAAGCTCCAATCCGGGTCTGTAAGGCCCGGAACCCAATTTTTAGCTCCCTTCTCAGTTTTATTTTAATATTTTAGTTTGGTTTTGTTCCGGTTGTCCCAAGTGGCTCCGACTCTACTCTCGGTTGTAAGTTTATTTTTACAACTTTTAATAAAATGTTCTTTTATTTTATGCACTGTTAATATCTAGTATGGGTTAGGATCCGGATTAGGGTTCTGGCTAAATTTGGGCATATACTCTGTATGTTTATTTAATAGTTGGAATAATTGTTGTAGAATTATTTTTATTGCTAAATTAATTAATTATGTCGAGAGAAAAATTAATTAATAATTGGAAATTAGTTTTTACCTTGTCTATGAGGATATAAAATTAATTAAGCCAAACTTTTTACAACGCATTAATGATACCTTGAGAGAGGATAAGTTAATAAAATATTTGTGACAGAAATATTATTATTCCAATTATTGATTAAATATGTGACAACAGTAGTTAACCTAGATGATGCCTTGGCCCAAAATCTAGTCATATACCCGTACTATTTATTTTCTTTTTCTAAAAAGCGATCAGTAGTGTAGTTTATTTTTATTTATCGAATCGAGAAGGCTTCTAGACCCGTCCAAACCTTCGCCTAATTATAAAAATTAACTAATTCCCTTCGTCCACTCCTCGAGAGACACGACACTCGGAGAAAACTAACCCTTCATTGGGAAGGTTGACTTACCGAAAAACTCTTTCATCAAATGGCGTCGTTGCCAGGGAGTGGCACGGTTTTAGTTTAATTTTTTTTAATTAGCTTGGGTGAAGACCGGTTAGGTCGATCTTCTCACCTCTTTTTTACAAGCCACTCGTAGTAATCATTAAAAATGAATTTTCGAGATGATTACTACGATCCGCCTCCTTTCTACCAACCACCCAACCACCCACCATCATTCTCCCAACAATCCAACTACTATCCACATCAGGACTCCTATTATGATGACTACTCAGTCAATAATGGACCTGATTATTATCCATACCATGAGGAACCACCATACTATACCCCGTCTCGAAATTTTGGATATTCTCCATACCAAGACAATTGTGGGGATAATTATGAACATCATGGTGATCAAGATAATTATGACCAGCAAGGGCCAATGTACGATGACCAGCTAGATCCACGAATTGAAGAAATTCTATGGACTGAGGAGAGAATACGTAATCTTGACCTAGCATTAGCGGTGGAGTGTTCATCATTTCAACCACCCTATTGTCGTGATTACTCTCTGACTTGTGAAGAGCAAATCGAAGCAAACAGAGATGTAATCCAGGCGAGAGAAAAATTTCTCAAAACAGTCCAAGAAGAACGCCAACTGCTCCAAACCCAGAAAGATAACGAACAACGCGAATATTGGGAGCATATGCAAAAGATGCTGGAGGACTTTAAGAAGGCTATGGAACAACAAGAAGAGATGGAGGAAATTGTTGTTCTAGAAGAGGATGAAGAATCTGAGACAAAATCTGAAACTGAATCCAACAATGTCTCAATTCTTGAATACCCACAAACTCCATCACCACTGTATATCGAAAACAAGATAACACTTGCAGAAATGATTGCAAGAGGTACAGTGGTGATGCTTCCTGAAAGCCCGAAAAGTCAAATTGTACAAGAGGTGAAGCATTCAGAGGGTCCTGTCTCGGAATCGCCTTCACCCGCTGCACCAGAAAAGTTGGAGGAACATGTCCTCCTTACATGTGTTGAAGACACTTCTCTAGAGGAACCTGTTCTGGAGAAATCTGAGCCCACCACCAACCCCCTTGATGCTGATGAGTCTGAACAATCTATAGACGAGGAACTACCCTGTGATGTTGAATCCATCCCGTCTATAGAAGTTTTTAATGCTGAAGTCTCACTTGAGGATTCGGACGAAGCCTTCTTTGACTTCCTACTTGACGGGTACGACCATTACCCGAAGGAAAGTTATAGTCAAATGAGCTCGGACGATCTCTTGATGAGCGACACTGAAGACTCAGGGGAAGGACATGCCGTAATCATCTAGCCATCAACAAAAAGTCAGCTTATTGAGGATTTGGAAAGTCAGATCCTGGCACTAAAGGCCAATGATGTGGATACACCGAGGAAACTCCCACCACCACCCATGCAAGACGAGTCTCCTCCATTTTTCTTGTTGTCACCACGCCGCAGGAGTGAGTCAAAGATCCTGGACTTTGACTGGAAAAGAACAGAACAAAGGTGGCATCAGAAAAGAGTCAAAAAGGTCAAACTTTATGACTCTCGGATCGGTAAGTCCCGTAAAAAACGGGCTAACGTCAAGCTAGTGACGTTAAAGAAGCGCTTCTTGGGAGGCAACCCAAGTGAATAAATTTTCCTTTTTCCTTTTTACGCGTTTTTGTTTTTTATTTGTGTGCAGGTGGAGCTTGGAATTAGGAATGCTGGTGAACCATTTTGACTCAAAAAAAAAAGAATGACTAAATTTTGTGCACAATTTTGTAAAAACCTTTTCAAAAAAAAAATTAATTAGAATTATTTCTGTCCCAAACTCTTGTTTTTATCGCTTAATGACCTCGAGGGCAAGGTCAGCCCTAAGTATGGGGAGATTGGAGTTTGGTACAGAATATTTTTATTTGTTTAGAAAAACTTTTTGAAAATATTTTTATACACTTTGTTGCATTTTACATATTAATATTGATCTTTACACCGTGTACGGAATGACTGTCTAAGCTAGAATGGTACTTAAGTGGACGCAAAGGGTGACGCCTTCGGGAGCCGAACTTGTCCCACCATTCCTACTGGGTCATTCTGTGGAAAGGTTTATTCGGGTGAGCCTAAGAGCACCTAATTGGCAGCATTCTGCCCGATCCTGAATACTCTGAATCGGTCTAGTTATCACTATTGATACTTTAAAAATTGTTTTACACTTTTTACTCTTTTCATAGGTAGAATTATTTTTTATAGCCCCCTTATGCAAAAAAATTAGCCAAAAAATTTAAAAGTTTTCTTTAAATTGCACATATAGTCTTTTTATTGGCTAACTTTAATAAGTTTTGTAAATAAATAAATTTGGATACTAATGTGTTAAAAATAAAATTATTGATTTAGTGAAAAATATTAACTTGTAAAATACGTTAAGGTCAAACATTTGTAACTTGTCATTTAAAATGATGCTGTTTCACTACTTCAAATTGAGTATGAGCAGTATATTTTTTTAAAAATTTGATATTTCAATGATTGCATTGTAAGTTTTGAAGAAAAAAAATCAAAAATTCAAAGAACACACTTTGGTGAGACCAAGTTTTGGAGTGAATTGAAAATTCAAAAAGCATCTGGTTCTATGTCAGATAATGAGACTTATTTTAAGTGAGTGCCAAAAAGCATGCGGTTCAATGTCGTGTGATGAGGTTTTTGAGTGAATAAAAATCCAAAAAGCTCGTGGTTCTATGTCATGGGATGAGGATCAAAGTTTTTGCTTGTGTCAACATGAAAAAGTGATGTTCTACAAAAAAAAATCAAACTTACTCTTTGCATAGGAATAAACGATAATTTCAGAAAAAAATTTTTAATTTTGTTTTTCAATGTACATATTTTTGACCTTAAATTATTTTGCAGTTATTATAAAATACTTACAATCCTTTTGTTTTAAACTTTAGTATCCAAGTTTGTAAATGAACACATTTTACATTTAGCCAATAACATTAATTTATGTGCATCTTTTAGAAAAATAGTTAAAAATCTTTGCTAACGTTTTTGTAAAAAGGGTGATATTTCTAGTAGTTCTACTTTTGTGAAGATTAAATAATGTAAAAGAATTTTCTGCAACAAATTGTTTAAAAAGTATGGTCAATAGTTTTTCCAAAATCTTTTAAATAAGTGTTTGATCCAAAATTTCATTTGTTGTTGTACTCTGTTGCTTGAGGACAAGCAACGCTTAAGTGTGAGGAATTTGATAAGTCCGTTTTGTATGCACTTATCTTCTCTTTATCTAACGTGTTGTTGTCCAATTTTGGATTAAACAAATCAATTTCTCAACGGTTTTTATAAGTTTTTATTCATAATTGTAAAAGTGCACAAAAGTTATATCTAGTTTTAAAAAGAATAAAAATTGAGTCAAAAGTGGTACAAAAGAGTAAAAGATTGTGCAAATGGGATGCAACAGAGCAAAGAGGCAAAAGATGGTGAAAATCCATGAAGTGAAAAATGTGGATTCAAATATGGCGATGCACCTCGTTAAAAGATTTGAGGTCAAACGGATTGAAAAAGCACCAAAAAAAGAGAAATTGTTTGAAAAGAAAAAAGTTAAAAAAAGTTGTTTTGATTCAAATTAATTCGTTTAACCCAAATTGGTTCGGAATTTGAAGTCGGGGCAGAAGAAAAAGTTGTCAGAATAAAATTTTGAGCAAGATAGTATTTTTAGAAAAAAAAATTCGGATCAGATCAAAATCCGGCCAACCAAGCNGTCAAACGGATTGAAAAAGCACCAAAAAAAGAGAAATTGTTTGAAAAGAAAAAAGTTAAAAAAAGTTGTTTTGATTCAAATTAATTCGTTTAACCCAAATTGGTTCGGAATTTGAAGTCGGGGCAGAAGAAAAAGTTGTCAGAATAAAATTTTGAGCAAGATAGTATTTTTAGAAAAAAAAATTCGGATCAGATCAAAATCCGGCCAACCAAGCGCTGCCACGTGGCGCAACCTGGCTGGCCGGCCAACTTCAGCAGCCTGCAAGTGGGTGGCGTCTTGTTCTAGCTGTCAGCCACCATCATCAATGATCATCATATAAAAAATAAAAATAAAAAGAGGAAAGGATAAGTTGATAAAAGGGAAACAAAGGGAAGGAGACGCAAGTCTCCGAATTGAGGATTTGCAGCAGTCATCCGCAGTCCGCACTAACTCTGCCCGGCGGCCGCCCCAGAGCCCGCCCCGGGAATTTTCCTGCCTATTTAAAGCGCGGCTCGGCGGAAGTTCAATCATCAATAATAAGCTCCAATCCGGGTCTGTAAGGCCCGAAACCCAATTTTTAGCTCCCTTCTCAGTTTTATTTTAATATTTTAGTTTGGTTTTGTTCCGGTTGTCCCAAGTGGCTCCGACTCTACTCTCGGTTGTAAGTTTATTTTTACAACTTTTAATAAAATGTTCTTTTATTTTATGCACTGTTAATATCTAGTATGGGTTAGGACCCGGATTAGGGTTCTGGCTAAATTTGGGCATATACTCTGTATGTTTATTTAATAGTTGGAATAATTGTTGTAGAATTATTTTTATTGTTAAATTAATTAATTATGTCGAGAGAAAAATTAATTAATAATTGGAAATTAGTTTTTACCTTGTCTATGAGGATATAAAATTAATTAAGCCAAACTTTTTACAATGCATTAATGATACCTTGAGAGAGGATAAGTTAATAAAATATTTGTGACAGAAATATTATTATTCCAATTATTGATTAAATATGTGACAACAGTAGTTAACCCAGATGATGCCTTGGCCCAAAATCTAGTCCTATACCCGTACTATTTATTTTCTTTTTCTAAAAAGCAATCAGTAGTGTAGTTTATTTTTATTTATCGAATCGAGAAGGCTTCTAGACCCGTCCAAACCTTCGCCTATTTATAAAAATTAACTAATTCCCTTCGTCCACTCCTCGAGAGACACGACACTCGGAGAAAACTAACCCTTCATTGGGAAGGTTGACTTACCGAAAAACTCTTTCATCAGTCATCCATGAATAAAATGAGAGTATGGAAACATCCAGAGTGTAAGGTTTGTAAAAGGCACCATCCAGGAGATTGCTGGCGTGCGCAAGGATTATGTCTAAGTTGTGGTAAACCTGGACATTTCCAACGAGAATGTCCCTCTAACCCTAAATCACATTCAGTTACTTCTGCCCAAAATCAACCTGTTCGCTCAGGAACAAGTCAACGTTCTAAAACACGAAACAAATCAAAGAATCCAACTCAAGGATGATACTCTGTCAAGATCCTAACGTGCTATAAGGGCTCGAGGATATATTGAATAAATGTAGAAATCTTATGTAAGCAAGAAATTATCTTTCGATTTGTATCTCAAGAATATTCGTATTTTCTTGAACCTACATATGTTGAAACTATTTTATAATGAAATCTTTCATTTGACCCATCTTGAGAAAATGTTTGATATTTACATGATGCATTCTGATGTTAAAAATAGATATTTTTCTGACTTGCACTGGCCATGCAGCTTAGAATAATATTTATGGTTAACTCATAATGTTCATGGACAATATTATTCCAACATAAATTCAAATGAAATTACATAAAGTAATATTACAAATGCAATTCTAAGTCTAATGCCCCAGGATTTATAAACTCGTTATAACTAGCCCCAGAACCCAGAAAAGCTTTAGCAAACGCTAGCTTGTCTAAAAGTTCATCAATAAAGAAAGAAGAAATGAAAAGTTTTCTCTGACTGGAAGCCATGAAATTCTGTCTCACCGCATCATCTAGAAATTTGATTAGGTTATTAAAATAGCCGTCAATGTTCAAAAGACCAATGGGTTTACTGTGTAACCCTTCAGATGCCCATGAGATCAAAGTAAACAAACCTTCCATAGTATCAATTCCCCCGGGAAGTATGATGAAAGCTTCTACAACATGATTCATTTCGAAG